AGTAGTGGTTATTATTAATAATATTATAAATTATAATTGGCAGGCTAATTTTTCTAAATTTAAAAAAAAAATAACTGTTTATTTTTACATCATTTTAGATACCTAAGGTTAGTATATTACAGAATCCTAAAACATTATATAAATATTATTTTTCAAAAAAATATTTGTAACCAATTATATATAATGATAAAAATTTCTAAAATTATTATGCACACTTCAATAATCTATCTATATTTAATATCACAAATAATGCTAAAATCAGATAATGCTAAAATCTATGTGATCTGTGACTATATACTGTATCACATAATACAAACTATTATTTCTATAAATTCTAAATATATATAGTATATAACTATCTGAATATATATAGTATATAACTATTTTACTATAATTATTTAAAGCTTCATATGCAAAGTAATCTAGATATACACAATTTTTATTTTTATTAAAATCATAAATCTGAATTTTACAAAAAACAACCAATCAAAAAAATTCTAATATTTTTGATTTAAAAAAAAAAAGACAATTTGTCAAAAAAAACCTTATCTTACCCACTTTCAAGAATTAATTGCGACCAGATTATAATTTTTTTTGTATAGCCCTAACTTATTTAACAGAAACCCAAATATCTTTGCTATTTACTTTAACAATTATAGTATGATTATAAGAGATAAGCAATTTAAATACACTTTGTTGAGAAAAAGTTAGTTGTAGCTTTCTTTACAGATTTGCTAGTTTATATCATAGTTGGTGTAATAGTAATTGTAGTTCTAGCTTTAATTATATTATTAACTATTTTTTTCTATATACACTACTTTGTCAATATAACTTTACATAATATTTCTCAAGTGAAGCATTTATGGATTGCTGCATTTTCAATATTTATGAAATATGATCTTCTATAGCAACTTCACATATAATAGGTTGGGCGGTGATATCAGAAGTAGTAGTTTGAATAGCAGTAGTTGTTTTATAGATAGCAGTTTAGACAGTAGTAGTTTTGAAGATAGTAGTTTGGGTAGTGGTAGTAGTTTTAGAAATAGTAGCTTGGGTGGTGGCAGTAGTTTCAAAAATAGTTGTTTGGGCAGTGATAATTTAGATAGTATAAAAGGTAATAGTTGTTTTAGTAATAGTAGTGATAATATTGTTATGATCCTTAGGGATGCCTGTCATAATAAGAGATATATTTAGTACTATAATTCCAAACATCTATTTGTTTGAGTTTTGCAACAAGACAATAATTAGTATTGTCAATTGAACTACTTGAACCCAGCAATTAGACCAATTAGACATATGTTCAATTGATCCAATTGCTAGTTCAATTAGTCCAATTAACAATACTGATATTAATCAAATAGTATACAAATTAGAAGAATTGTAAATACAATATATTTTCTATCTAAAAATTGCTTTGTGCAGTGTATAACTGTATGTAGTATAAATTATCGAGTTATATGTTATGATAAATATATCTATTATATTGATCTAATCTTTTTTTTGAAGTTGGTTATTTTAATTCCAAAGTAGTTTGATAAAACCACAACCCACAGTCTGGTTAAGTTGCTCAACTAGACCTTGTGACTATGAATATCAAAACCAACTATGACTAATTATAATATTAAAGATTTACAAATTTTCATTATTATTCCTGTGACAAACTTCTTGTTATTGTTGCTTTGAAAAACTACAGGCAGCCCAAGGATCTTAAAAACATCTTTAAAAAAATATCTCACAACCATGTTTGCTTCTTTATTTTTTATCAAAACTGCAACAAAATCTTTAAAAAATATACAGATGCATATAAATAATCATAAAAAATCATCATTTATTTCAGCGAAATCATAAAAATCAACTAGATTGACTTGAATATGCTGCTATAGTTCTAATAATATCTTATATCAGTTTTTTATTTAATAAAGATATTTATAGTACAAGTAGAATATTTATTTATATATACCTTTATTTCTTTTTATATGATTCCTATATACTTTTTTAAAATTACAGTAAAAGTTTTATGATATTCATGATAATTTGCCTGATCATAGAAACATGCTAATATTAGGGCATGCATTTCTATATTATACCTAAGAACTATATAATATTTTTCTAACTCAATAACACTACCTTTCACAGCTGGTTTTATGTAAAGAATACTATTTTTGTCAACTTCAAAATGCTTGCAATAGCAAATAAAATTAGATTTTGTAGTGA